AGCTAGATGATATGTTTTTGGCTAGCTGCAAGTACCGACTACCCGCTCTGAAAGTAAAGGTTCTTGCACGCAGGTTTGTTTTAGGTCGCGCGAGCGAAATCTTAAAGAACTAAGGCCTAAAAAGCTTCAGTGACTTCAAACCAACATTTGATTCTTCTGTAAAGTGTGTTCTGTTTCACTCGTTGTCAGCTTGTCAGAGATTGGGCATCAAAAAAGGTAGCTCTATAAAAAACAGAAAGTCATGGCTAGTACTAGGGATTTCTGGTTATGCGAGAAGTTCGACGTAAAACTGATTCGAATGCAAGTTTTCTGTGTTTATGGTTAAGGGTTTATGATGTTCATTTACAAGCCATTCAAGTTCCATAAATACGTGACCAAGCGATTACCTTAGCACGTTGCATGCCGTTGCACTTTCACCAGGAAGCTCATTCACAGCATTCTTGAGATTCATTTTTCTGATCGATTGAGGTGGATCGATGGTGAGGAAGGAGCGCGTAAGGAGTTCAAGTGTAGGATCGGTTTTCTACCGCAAGAATATTATCTATGTAAGAATATTATTGGGCGGAAGTGGTGTAGTGGCAAGTGGCACGCTTACCACGCGAGCGGTCCGGGGATCAAATCCTGGGTCGTGAGTCGCCCGGGCCAACCAAGCCTTCCATCCCTCCGGGGTCGGTTAATTGGTACCAGACTTGTCTGGGAGGATAAAAACACTGACTTGTACATCGGCTGGCCCCCGCAAGTCATTGTATATTCAAACGCCACTACGAATGTACAAATGGAAGTAGAATGCGTGCCGCATCCCAAAAAAAAGGCAGTCGATCACGCAATATGCCTATCACTCCGGGACAAAAAAATTTTTTTTTGGTACTTCAAAGAAAGAATTTGAGGTTGAAATTGCAGTCGTATTTGCATGTGTGACTCTGCATGTGCACGGAATCGCTTAGAAAGAACTTTCTGTAAGTTGAGGTCCGTCAAGGCCAGATCAATACTGTTCTATTCGGCCAGCAGCCTCTACTATACCTAGCTCCTTCAGTGGGTTCTGGAACTCCGAAAGCCTCACAGGATTCAGCTGTGATGAACAGTTGCTTTTACTCAATTCACCGTCTGGATGAGCTCCATGTCGACATTCCTGTTAGAGAAGCCGCCTTGCTTACATTTGGGATGCGATCCACATCTGCTTCAAACGCCTCTGCTACGCACTGGGCGGAATTAATAAGAATTTCTATCCTCTCAAAAAGTCTGCTACCGCGCCCATTAGCGTTCTCTGACGGGCGGGGAGCTTGGTTTGCCCGGGAATAAGTTGTATCGGAATTGATCTTGGCATCTTGTCGGTGCGGCCGCGGCCACCTCATTACCACCCCTACTCCTCGCTTTTCGTAAGACGAAAGTAGACCCTTGAATTCAGTAAAAAAACTGTCGCATTGTTTTATGTTGAGGGAGGGCCTGCTGGGATAAAAATGATGTTGGCTACAAGTGATTGAACAAGTGTAGGCGACAGTCACTCTCTGCAGAGGATCATTCCTGGCCCTCCAGCAGTCAGTTTACGAGGTCTTTCTTCAACTAAAGGGTGAGAGCGTAGCTGGAAAAGCAAACACTTTGTGTCTTATTGGGACTAAGCCTTTTGAGGGAGATAAAGAAAGGGGAGATGCTGTGAGAGTGCGCACTTGTGAGAGCTCCCATACATCACTACTAAACGCTGAACCGCCAAGCCCCACGGCTGAACCAGAAGTCCTGAGACCCCAGCGGTCAATCGTCAAAGAAATCGTGGCCAAATATTGAAATTCCAAACCCACATTCCATTATTTCCAGTTTCACCAAGAGTTCGAGTGCATGGCTTACTCTGCAAAAATTACGTGGGTAACTGGAGGGTAGAGGGAGGGAGAGGAGAGGAGATGGGATGAGGTCTGAAAATTCTGCTAGGGACAGTTTTCTTGTCAGGACCAATAATGGGACTTTCTCTGCAGCAATAATTAGACTGCTGCCAGATCAGTGCGAGAAGGGAAGCGATGAAGACGTGAAAGTTGGCTGTCCAGTCAGCAGCCATTCAAATGCCACGATTTTTTCGATAGGAAATATAATGCGTGGCGTGTCTGAAAAGAGATGGCCATTGCGAAGCAGATACAAATTTAAGCGTTCAAAGAAGCGATTTTTAAAATATTGACTGGCTGCAGAAACTTTTGGCACCACTTCACTATAAACCGATTACATAGGGATGAAGGCAAGAGAAATACTGATAGAGGAGATTATTGCCGAAACGAATCGCAGCAACATAAGGCGCTTATCAGTCGCGCTGGAAGAGTGGGGGCCTGCTAGCGCTGGATTGTGCATGTATGTTGTGTCTAGCCGCAACATGAACAGCGCGCCGCGCTCTGTGTCCCTTCTGCATCGCGCTACGCTCTCTCTCTTCCCATGCCATCGTAATTTATTATGTCTGCAACAGCACGGTTGACGTTGGACGCTACGGTCTGATTTACACTTAGCGATAAGATACGCAGTGCAGTGTCGTCGTCAGTGAGTGATCACCTTTCACGGGTTGCAGAGATGGGGCCAAAACCTGCTCAGCTGAAACAGTGCAGGGAAATAAAGAGAATCCGAGGTCACTGAGATGACTTGCACAAGAAATATCCGTGAGAACAAGGGGGCCATTTAGTAACAATCAATTAGTAAATGATTTGACCTGATTGTCGTTAGTGTTATTTATTGTTTGCTTACGCCGTAGCAGTGTTTATGTTTACGCATGTACTTTTGTACATACAAACAAATAAATAAAAAATAAACACTTGGGCTGTTAAAAGGTTTCTAAAACAGTCGAGAACTTGCGGTAACGAAGAAGATTCGGAGAATAGGCCTCAGAAGAACTTCGAGATGGGAATAAGAGTGTGGAGGTGTTGGACAGTTCCTCCAGAGGGGTTCTTTTCTGGTGTTAGAGGCAAAAGCACAAAGATCAACAGTCACGCTGGAATTTTTCGGAAATGGGCCGCCCCTCCTCCCTTGTAGTGAACAGTGATGTCCAGGTTGTCGTTGAACCTAGTTCATCTTGACACACTTTGAAACTCCGCCAACAAAACTCCTAAAATGCGTTTCAATCTGCCGGGATTGAGCGCATATGACATATAAGGTTGAGAGGCGTAATTTTGGAATTCAGCAACTTGTCGAAAACTTCCAACTCCTAACCGTAACAAAATAACAAAAACTTCTACTTCTCTTCCAATCTTCGAACAACAGACATTTCCGCCAAAAAACATATACTCCGGACCTTAAAGCTCCTCTATTTAGGAGAACTCTGAGAGGCAGTCGTTCCTGGAAACTTTCAGCCAAACAAATTGCAACAATTAAGAGAAAAAACCATTAAAAACAAAATAATTAATACGGTTCGGTTTGCTCCTTCCTCTCAGACGAACCGACTGTGACTTCTACACACTACTACCACGAGAGGTAGAGATTGGCGCATGGGCAGGATACTTAGTTACCTTTTGACCTTCCAGTAAATAGCTGCTGCCGTGAAAGGTCATATGCTGGATGAACGACTATTTGCCTCTCTACAGAAGCTAAGGAATTTGATATCTTAGTCATAAGCGGCTAAGGTGTCATATTCCTAAGCTCTTGTCGATGTGTACTAATAACATCGTCTTAGATCGGGATGACAAGCCTCTTCGAATATGATCAGCACCATTTAGGCAACAATTGTTATCCTCTGTGTTAGTCAAAAAGGCACGGAGACGGCTGTTTATCTGCGCATTTCAAAATATGGGGTATTGGCCCAGTCAGTCATCAGACTATCATCCCGTCATACATAAACACTTACCGATCAGAAGTTGGTGTAAATACTTCCTTTTTGGATTTTCACCATGATTTCCAGTGGTCTTCCTTAGACTTTTCCTTAGCGCCACCCATGTGGCCATAAGATCCCAAGTGACTGTGGAACACGAAAGAGGAAAGATGTCTATTAAAGTTCACGTTTGTAGGTATTTTAAGCTTAAAGCCATGTTGAAGATAGTTCCCTCTCTGTAGACGTTAGCGCTATTACAAAAAGTTTGTAAGGCCTTCCTAGTCGGTACTGAAAGGATTGTTTTCACAGAAGATAGCCTCGTTTTTGAAAGTCAAGAGTTGTTTAATCCATTCCGAGCCTGTTCAGAAATGGCAGCCGCTAAGCCACGGCCACGAGTTGAGTCAAGCCTTATTGACAGCTGAATTTTTTGTGCTCTCGCCGCATAAGCCGAAAAATCCCTAAGTTCTGAATGGTACTCGAACGCAACCCTCATCCCAACAGGACTGGTAGGAGTCGAGTAAGTTGCAGGCCAGTACATTCGCTCGGTTCCAACGATTACTCTACTCGGGCACGGATCTAGGTCGACTAGCCTACCCTGGAGGGGCGAGTAACTTGATTGATCCGTAGGAGACACCGTAAGGCATTACAGTAGTAGTAGATCCCATAGGTTATGTGGCACCACTGCTTACCCTTGCGCTTTATGATTATTTATTGATGTCGCGAAAAAAGGCATTCAGGAAGGATAACCCGAAATTTTTTGGCACAGGTTCAATTAGACCGATTGGGGTAATCGCTGGATCGTTGACGCGGATTCTGCGTATACATCGGCTAACCCTTGTCAATCAGCTCTTCAAATAGTTGTTGACCTTTAAATACACACACGCGCATACGTACCCATTCTCGTGTCGATGAAGTATGTTTGGCAGCTTTCCAAACGGTGGGTGTAACACAAGCTGACGTCAGCAAATCTGTTGCTCATCCACTATGTATCTTTTCATGCACCGCCGCTATTCAAATATTCACCAAAATCCCCCAACAAGCCCCATTTGTTAGCCGTGATGGGCACAATACCACCATTAGGGGTTATCAAATGAATAATGAACAATTATAGAATTTTTATTTAGTTCTGAATTTTGAACACATAAATGAAATACATATGCATACTATACATATAGGACATTCCTGGACCAGTCGATAAGTGAATTTTGTACAGAGATCGGATTTTCAGAGATCATCTGGAGTTCTGCGTCGCCGATTTAAGCCGTGAACTTTCTTTGAGCTGTAAAATGCTATTTTTATTATATATTTAAAAAATTCGCGAAGGGGTCATAAGAAAGATTCTGTAAAGACTTATTTGTAATGTCGTACCATATGAAGCAAATCAATGAAAACAAAGGGTTTTCTCACAGGGCGGGGTGACATGTTTTGGAGTGTACTCTCAGTGTAATGAGCACCAACAGAGCTGTTAACAAGGACTAACAGTGCCTATCTCAGTAGGGGGGGGGGGTGGGGTGTGATACCATCGCTCGTGCCGCCTTGCTCTAAAGTAATCCCACTTGAAGAAAGAGCACCACAGACGTCTGGCTTTCGCTTTCACACCCACCCCGTAGCTTCCTATCCCTGCAAAAGTTGAGACTACTGTAGGCCGCATGAACGACTGCACCACTTTCTCCCCGCCCTTGTTGGACTGAACCTCTATAGCAACTTTCTGCCTGCATTCCTGCGGCCTATAAAAATCGACATCATTACACTCTGAGCTCTTATCCTTTAAGGCGCAAGATCCACTTAAAGATGACTTCATGGGTCTCAAGGTACATACTGGTAGCATCCTTGTTTGGCCAGAATAGAGAGAAGCAAGCAAACAGCTGATGGGCTAGTGAACTTATCACTTTTCGTTTAAGTAGTACCCAGCAAAAGGTGGACCAGGGTCGGCACCCTAGGGTCCACAACAGGAACCATGGGTCTTGTGTAAGTTGTTTTGGACTAGCTTGGAAGAATTTGTTGAGCGTTCTCGTAGGATTTACAGGAAAATCTCCACAAACTTGACACAAGTGCTAAGTCTCAAAATCCGTTATAAAGGTGCTTGACCAGGGGCTGAAGAAGCACTCTGCCCTTTATGTATTCTCTACCGCTTGTATAAACGCGTGTTTGTCCAAGTCCAAGTTTCAAGAAGAGGCAAATAGGAACTTACATGATTGAAGATCCGTCGTTGGACGGCTTTTTCAAGTAGTCGAACGACTTTCAAACCGGCAACAATTTCAGTCATTTGCGTGTATGCGGTGCAATGGCTCATTTTCCGCAGAAGTGCTCGATCTGCTTCGTACACCTGAATGACGTAATATATTAACCTTGAACTGCTATTTGGTTGCGCCATGCTACCCTAATCTGCTGGAATTGTGAGGATGTTATTGATCAATTCCATAACACAGCTTTTTGTTGGTGCTTAGCCACTCAGCAGGTTGGGCTTTCCCCTGGAAAGCAGGTCCAATAGTACCAATTAGGGGAAAAACTTTGTCCTGCTGAAAAGGGACTAATCCACCGGGGGTGCTATTGTATCACGGAAGCTTCCAGCGGAAGCCAGGGAATCATTTTTTGTTCTAAATTCAATAGCTGGCGATGGTTTCAAAGAGAGGACGCGCGGAGTTTGGGGTAAACCTTATCTCAAGCATCAAGTAGTGCGTGCTTAGCTTGAGATGAGGTCTAAAAGTGTTCAGTCCACGAAGTGTTCAGTCGACGACACGAAAGGATTGGAACGTGGTGTACTGCACTGAACACAAGGTATTCCACGCAATAATCTACGCTGTAAAAGAATGGTCTGAACGTGATTGAACCTTTGAACCATCTTCCGCGCTACCGCCGTATCAATGCGACGCACAGTTGGCAGAGACGATTAGTTGGAAGGGAGCCACCTGTGTTTTACGACCACGGGCGTATCGTCTGATGAGATCGGCAGCTGATAAGCACTTGTCTTGGTCTAACTGGAATTCTCTTGAGTTCTTTTTTTTTTTTGTTTTTTTTTTTTTTCTTTTTTTTAAAATTCTCACGGACTCTCAAGAAACAATCTGGGCGGAATCATAGGGAATCAGAAAGAAGACGATTCTGCAGAGATTTTCAGGATGCGCCATGTACAAAACTTCCAGTCAAAATCGTCGAAAGAGTTCACAGATAAATGCATACCAGGGCCAGCAGATGTGATATGCTGACCAGATAGAGCTTTCACTCCTTTCCTGTCCATTAATCTACATTAAGTTGGTGAGAGCTGCCTTTGGTCCGGGCGGGAATCGATCTAGGGAAGTGTGGCGCAGCTCTGTAGCCCTAGCGCCATCTTCATTATTTGCAAGTTCAGCATGAACTCACTTAGTTTTTGCAAATGAGAAAAACTGAACGAAAATGTTGGCAGGTGAGGAATTTTATCATCAAGTGTACTTTCTAAGGAAGAACTGATATGCTATCACCGAATGTCCTTTTCAGTTTTTTATAAGGTATTCTTATGCTCATATGCTGTGTTACAGCTGATCAACACGCTCAGCTGATCGGTTATCACTCAGTGGTGGGATAACAAGTGTTCAATGGCTGATCATTGATGGTTACCTGCTCGAGATGTTTGCGAAGTGTTTGCAGCCGACGGTCTCTGGCCAAAGGACAAGTGATCTGCAGGGCGTCGTCGTCTCGCTTTGAAGGGATTCGCGACGGATCTTTTTCACATGTCGGCTCGATTTCACATTCGAAAATCGTGTAATCAATCATTGCCTGGAAATGCAACATCTATTGATCAGGGTAACCTTCGAAGGCGATGAACTGAAGAAAATTCAGAGAGATGGCTGGAATGATGAACAGGAGGCATTAATTGGCGAGAATTATCTAGATACATAAGCGGAGACCCACTTGAGGGGGAGTGATGAGGAGGGTCGCTGGAGGAGGCGGGCCGAGCAGTGACCTCTTGAAAGTGTTACCTACGGTCCTGTGCCGTCGCTCCCAATGTAAACGAACGCCGAGATAAGACCGCCTTTGAAGCTTGAGATAGATAATCGCGAACGATATCCTGGGACAGGTCTGGCGGAAACCCTAAGCAACTATGTCATCTAGATACTGCATTAGAACGACGGCCGCTTCTACTGGACGCCTTATACGCGAGCGTTGAGGATGGGTACCAATTATAATAGCTAGTTTGATAATATTCAGAGAAAACCTCCATATGTCTCAAGAATAATTCCCCTGAAGTACCTACAACTTCAGCTTGGCCAAAGCTCAAGGTTCTTTATAATGAACTGGCATCATTTACACTTCACCTACCTTCTGAAAACTGAGCTGCTCAAAAATTTAAAAAGGGGATGGATATTTCGCTAAAAAGCTGTCCACGAAGTTAGTTTGACCCGTCGAATGCAAATATCGCAGATCGTTGGCGTGAAAAAGTGTGGCGCCCGGGTCACAGGCACCGGTGCCAAAACATCTTAACCCAGTAATTTGCTGAATACTTACTTTTCTTGGGAGTCATTATAGGGAACGAATGCTGTCATTCTTTTGTCAAGAGACCGCTTGTAGCTTGCGCCGGAGGTGCCAGCGCCCAAACTAATGTGGTAGCGCCAGCGCGTGTAGCACGGGTGCCAGGCGTATCCGCGCCAAAGGAAGAGTTATTTGTATTATAGTAGTCGAACTACTCTATGGGCAGCTTTCAGCCAAATTCGACTCCATTTACGAATTTCGAGAAAAATATAGCTAGTTTACGAAGAGTAAGGCCTTATCAAGTACACGATACGATGACAGTGCATCAACTCATTTTACTATTTGACTGCTCTAATAATGGGCCCTGTGTTAACTTGCATCGTGCTTATTATTTCTTCGTTGGAAGTATATTACTTTCACTCTTCAATTTCACCGCTTCCTCCATCATTTTTCTCTTATCCCTGCACGTCCTTTTTCAGCCAAATCCAACTCCATTTACGAATTTCGAGAAAAATATAGCTAGTTTACGAAGAGTGGGTCGGTCAGTACAGGGTAAATATGTGCTACCATAATTCCTTTGAAATTTCACCGCCCTCACATGTTCCTATTAGCCCATCATTTTTGAGATAAGAAATGAAAAACCCTCCCTTTCAAAATACGAGAAAAGCGTCGGGTGCAGACTGTACATCACAAGTGACGACAGCCTGCAATTTCGTTAGTAGTAGTTCAAAGTTGTGGGATAGAATACAACTGCAACAGGCTAATCATTTCATTGGCAGAAAACATTTACATTTTGTGGAGGCCGTCGTCACTTGTGGTGTATGGTCTGCACCCGACGCTCTTCTCGTTTTCGAAGGGAGGGTACCAAAAGCTCAGAATCGTACTGTCAGTCAAAGCTGACCTTTTTTTGAATTTTCTTTTTCGAAAATTAAATCGTAGATCAGACGAAAAAGGCTGTAACCCAGCTCGACGCGTGTATTTGTCTCCTTATCAGACTTGTCTGGTACCAAGTAGCCGTGTCTCTTTATCATTCGAGGAACTGACAAAAGCATGGAAGATAAGGTTTCCGCGGTTGGTAGACCCTCTTTCGAATCGTAACGGCATCTTGAAGGCAATTTGGGCCTACTAGTCAACTTACTTCCTTTATTTAGTATATACTCAAATCAGTAATCGTGAAAACAAAGGTGGAAAACGTTCAAGGTATAATTCAGAAATGAGAATGGAATTAAAAGGACAAGTTAAAGGCATGCCCAGGATCAAATTGGTGTGGCTCTTGCACACGAATGCGAATGTATTGGTGCGAAATGGGCCGGCAGTAAAGAAAAAAGGAAAAGAATCCGTCGAAAACGCTTAGGTTAAGGGCTCACTCACCTTTCTCGGCTGTGCTAAGGGAATGAGAGACTAAGCGCGGAGAGGAGAGTATGAGGCGAGAGAGCGCCAGACAACAGCCTGATAAAGAAGAAAATCTGCAGCTGCAGCAGCTTACTTTGCAAGGCCCAAGCGCTCTTATCGGTTGCACGAGAACGCCACATCTGTGATTGTCCTCTAGGGGTTTATCCTACAGACCGAAGGGAATCGTTTACACGGCTTCTGCCTGGTTTGTCCCTTTAATGAGGATGGCCGTTCACATTGTTCAGAAAGTACCGGGAAGGAAAAGTAGCTGTACTTGCACACATGGAACTTCGAGGAGTTCGAAAAACATGTTGATCTGCCCTCTCAGATCAGACTTGTCTGGTAGCAAGGAGCCGTGAGATCAAAGCTGAGCCGACTGAGTGAAATTTGATCCGGAATCGGATGACGCATGTGGTGACAGAGCCACGTGCTAATGTTCCACTGCCAGATTCCAACGGCGTTAAGGAAAGTTCCAGTAAATGCGAGAAGGTGTAGAAGGCCAGTATATGTTTCCCATAAGGCATTGACGGAGTGGTGCAGTGGCAATTGGTGCTACTTACCATGTGCGAGGTCCGAGCAAGAAATCCTGGGGATCCGCACCAACAAAGCCGTCTGTCGCTGTGGGTCCAGGCTTGTCCGAGAGGATGAAAACTGATTTGCAGTAACTGTGGTACTTTTTCTGGAATGAAATAGCAAGCGACCCACCCTTCGTGGTTCTTCCGGAGCTTTACCTGAATATTTTCACAGAACTGTAATTCACTAACAGTTTTACGACTGCAATCTCAAGATTTATTTCTGGGTTGTCTAGTTGACGAATTTACGAGCAATTACGCCCCATATCAGGTAATTGTATCACAAAG